GTTAAAGTACTCTGTCAGATATTTGCTCTTCTGTAAGTCATGCAGAATAGTTTTTTCTGCGGCTTGCAGAGAGTCAGGGATATCTGCAATACAGTTTTGAATGGTAAAATTCTGTGGCAAGATTTTACCGACATTCTCTGACAAAAGTTTACACCAATCGTAATTGACCGATTTTTGGTTTTTTGAGGGCTTTGAAATCTCCTTAAAATAACTCAAAAATGTGCTAACAATTTGTTGCTGCCCTTGAAAGTTTGGGTGTAACCCGTCAACTAACGTATTTTTATTGAAATTAAAATCGAGAATGTCGAATTTTAAATGTTTTGAAAGTTTTTCAAGTTTCTGATTTAAAAGTACAATTTCTTCATTCATTTGTGCCACTGAATGATTGTGAAACGAAGTGGTTTTCGTTCGAAATTGTATTTTTACGAACGAAAGATGCTTTATGTTGGGATAGAGTTCTTTCGTTTTTTGAAGAAGCTGTTTAATTCGGTCAATTACGGTTTCCGCATCTGCCCAAGCGATATCATTTGTACCGAGTACAAATGTAAGACTTGAGGCATCACGGAGAAAATAATTGTATTGTCCTTTCTCAATCTCTCGGAGATATTTTTGAGTTGTATGTCCGGAGATTGATTTTATATGAACCTGAGTACCTGGGTTTGAAAGTTGGCTGAGTTTTACTCGAGACGCCATAGAGGAGGAGAGGATTATATGTATTGGTTTTAGATATGAGGGTGTTAAATTTATAGGTACTTGCCGTACTTCTTTTACTGCTGCCATATGTCGCTGTTGCATATCTGCGTTTTGGTTTTTTGATGATTGACGAGGACGATGATGTTGATAATCAGATGATCGTGCGTTCATTTGTTCATCTGCTGTTGATTGTGGCTCGGTATGCCCAGTGTCGTTGTCAAATCGATTGATCGACGTTGGTAATGGCAGATGTGCACGTTGATCTAAATTAAATAGAACTTGAGCATATGACTTTTTCACGTACTTACCTTTTGTATGCTCATGACAGGTGTGTGAGGGAGTGAGGTGTGTTAGATTTAAAGTCATGAGTGCTGGGATATTATGTAGTTGACATGCGTTTAAGGTGATTGTCCGACGTTTGATTGCTGGTGGGATACTTTGTTGATTTCGCGAGGGTGCACGTGATGAAACTCTAGGTGGTGTGGGTAGACGACGACGACGAACCTGAGGACGGTAATTTTGCAGCGGTGGCGCTTGTTGATTGGGTGGCACGTAATTGCTTATGTTCGTATAGGAGTCGAAGTTTGATGATGTCCCGGTTTGGAAACGATGTTTTGTTTTCGGAGCGATGGTTTTGTTCTTTGTGGAGGTGGATGATTTTGTTGAAGTTGATCCTCTCGATTGAAGTGTTGTGTTTTTACGTGCCGACGCTTTTGTTTTGCTGGTAGCATCCATTCGGGTGGTGGATCGATTTCTACCGTTTGAACTGTGATGGACGACGCCGTATCTGGCGCTAAAACAGCGACATGAACAGGAGTAGTAGTAGAAGTACTTACTGCGTCGCGAGGTGGGCTCTGTCGTGTTGGTGCTTCATTGCAGTGTCTTTTGTTTGCGATATGGTGTGGTATTTCTGGTAAAAGTAGAACTTTCCGACGAATTTCGGGCATACGATCGTCGCGAAGTGAAGTCGTGCTTTTTCTTAGCGGTGTACGAGGATGAGCTGATGCTCGTGAACGAACTGGTGTACTACTCAAAAAGAGACATCTACCGTCCGACAGACAAGACATCTGCCTCAGAAAACAGCTGGAGAGCGTTGGCTGCTTTTAAAATATAAAATGAAGTTAGAGTAATGACGTAAAAGGGCCGGATTTTTAAATTTTTTCTTTGTTTTATTTTCTGAATCACCTCAAAAGTTCGAAAAAAACGCAAAAACCGATGTATAACTTTCAATAATCTAAAAGAATGACGGTTTAAATCAAAAATTGGTCTTTCTTACGTTGTTCCCATAAGTCTTAGCTTCAGTTTAAGATCAATCCGAGTTCTCTAGCGCTTGATTTGACGAAGAAATCTTTGCGACAGCGTTTATCACGTAGGAAAAAGTCGCTTTTGAGGTATAGTGCGTATTTCTACGGTGTTTAGAAGATTTATTAAAAATTCCCTAGAAACCTTTGATATTGGCATGAATACTATTCTAAGAGGAGGCACCTGGGGCTTTCAACTATTTACTTAATTCAATATGGGCCTTTTATGGAAAAATCTATATTGCTGATCCAGGGAGGAAGTGGGGGATTTAATGTACTTTTGATAATTTGGCACACCGCATGTCTAATCTATTTGACACAGGTTGTAAAAAAAAGTCGAATGTTTTGGTACTTGCAAAAAATCTTGACTTTTTGAGCCAGCTAAGTGGACAACAAACGTTACTTGTAGGCCATTAGAAAGAGCATACTTTAAAGTACTAGAAACAAACATAAATTAAAGCAGTCAGTGTGGTTTCACTTACCGAAAATGCCAAAGAAAGTGCGGCAACTTCGGCTTAGAAAGTTGGCACTTTTACACATCCTCATCTTTTCTTTTATAACTAAGAATTTCTGCTCCGAGAAAATTGGTGACACATGTTTTTGTAGAGAATTAAATGGCGCATCGTTCAAAAAGACGTTTGAGCAGATTGCACAAAAAATGACGGAGTTATCGCAAAAGCAAAAAAGGGCCTTTTTACCTGGGACATCCGAGAGTTGAAATGTTTTCTTTTACCTCGTTTTCCATAAGCGAATGTGCAGAAATGTATTGAACATCTTTTTAAAAACAAATCTTTGTTTTGGTATTACTTTCCACTAAAGTAATAGTAATTTTATGAATGTTTCTATTATTCACAATTGAGATTCACAGTTGCTCCAAAATGTTTATCTAGTTGACGATGATGGGACTACTGATGATTTGCAACAAAAATGAGAGTGTTCTCCGTGTAACGGTCCCAGAAAGTCGGTTTTTCGCAAAATTTCCACCTTAAAATAACGCGAGTTTTTAAGAGCGAGAGCAATTTTCACGTAAAAATGAATTTGCAGTTGAAGAGAGAAGCTGTTAGAAAATTCGACGGTAGATGAGTTTCAGTAGCGACGATATCTATCAAAGAATGGTGGTTTGAATAAAGTGTTCGAAGAAAACATGTTTAACTTTCGCAATTTTTGTGAGTAACTCGTACTTATTATACAAAAAGAGAAAAAGTCCATCCTTTTTAAAATAAAGCAGGAATGATTTTGAATTGTAATCGTTCATTTTGGAACTTTTACAATTCAAAATCATTTCTGCTTTTTATAAATTTTTGGAGACGAACAAACTAATTTTTCCAAACGTTGATTTCGAAGTTTGAACATGTCGATAGACATAGGTATTTTTTCTAGAACGTCAGAGAACTAAAATCATCTATTTGATCTTTTCGGTGCCTGAAAACTACTCATAAAATATCATCTTTTTGTTATGTTAGTTCGCGTCTTTCCTTATTATATTTTGCGTCGAAAGCGTATTTACGTAAGACAAATACGTCTTTGTTAAAACGAAATTAAAAATATATAACACAAAATACAAAGATACTGGTTTCATAAAAAAAAAGAGAATTTGTCGATAGTGAGTTTTCGACACTATAGGATTTTTTGCTCGGAATTCGACAGCGACGAAAATTTTCACTCGGAAGTCTATAACTAAAATTGAAACAATAACTATAAATGGTGCATGGAGCATGGTATTGTTTCGGATATTTAAATTATTGATGAATGAAAGAATAAAACACTATTAGTAAATTGTGTAGAAATATGTAAAATAAAGAGGCTTTTAAAGGCTATAATCGTTCGGCATTGATGAAATATTTATCTAAATGCATCAAAAATTCCATGCCTTCGCTGTTCTCATAGTATAAACGTACGCTTGGAAATAATTTGGACTATCCTAAAATGAGATAAAAGAAACAACAACTGAACTGCATTTTATGTTAGATAGAACTTTTTAGTCGTTCAGCACATTTTCGTCTATAGAATGGCAGTAGCTAATTTTTAAGTTTTGTCTCTTTTCTTTCAAAAAACTTTGAAATATGCCCTGAAGTCATAGGTATAAGAAATGACACTACTTAGCGAAATTGTTGCAAATCACGTAACCTTTTTCGACACAAATCAAAATTTGCTAGAAACATCCATGAATTCCGAGCTTTTGGTTAGAGGGACCTAAGCAAATATTAATCTGCTCAGAAACTTATTTCAAACAAATATCAGAACGAAAACTAAAACAAAAACGTGAACAAAAACTTGAGCAAAAGCTATAATGAATGTATCAAAAATAATCTCGAAATATCTCCCAAACTAAACAGAACATTCTCTCATATGCCAGTCGTGGGTGCTGTTAGTATTACTGTTTGGATTAATTCAACATTAACATTATACACCGTACTTATACCTAATATTCGGGCAATTTAAATGCTCATTATGCTCAGTTATCCCTGAGTTCTTAACCAATACATCATCAAAAACTAGTTTGACGATCGTTCGTAAGTTGCTGACATCTACCTTTAACTGGGTTATTTGTTTTAACGATATCACCTGCTGGAAGGTTCTTTTTTCTCGCTCCAAGCTGCGCCCACTTTGAATAGGAACACAACGCACTCCTTCTGCAGATACCATATCGTACGTAGCTTTTGGTGCTGTGAGTTGAGGAAGATGTGTAACAATCGATGCTATGCCCTCGTCAAGCATTATCCTCATTACCACAAAGTTATCCACTAGAACTGCGGTATCTGCAACCTGCGCCTTAGGCACCATCCTTCTCGCCATCGATGTATTCGGTTCCCATCTTGTTATTAGCTCGAAACACGATTAATACGCGCCTAATGAGTTGTATCTTCCGCAGTCATAAGAGCCAATACGGCGTGAACCAATGAAGCAAGTGTAGCTATGTAAAAAGCGCTAGTCATACGCTTGTCTTCGCGCATGTGTGTCGTTTTATCAGGGTTGTCTGAAGGGAAACTCTCTTTGCTGAGCCATCGTCTTGAAAACCCAGCCACAATCTCACCTCCAGTGGGCTTGTTTTGAACGACGTCAACTAGTGGCGCGTGCAGCGCATGCTGTCCAAGCGTTTGCATGGTAGTCTATCGCCAAATTAACAAAATCTTCAGCATCAGCATTAAAAGTTGTTGGCGTGTCAACAGCTATCCACTCTTTTGACTTGCTTGTGCAAACAAGTTCAGCTACCACAGCCCAATATCTCCCAGCATTCTTGCCTATTGGTCAGATTCATTGTCTTTGACATGGGTTACATTGACTGTATAAAAAGCCTCCATATCTTCGTCGATCGATGGCGAAGTTAAATGGATCTCTTCAAGAGAAAACCATGTATCATGGCTGAATACCCTTAATTTTCCTGTTTTGATAGTGTACCGTAGTGTTACTGAATATAGTCTTTCAACTAAAAAGTTTATGATGTGAAATTTGGTCTGCATCTCTTAGCACACTCGACCCTCGTCTTCCTTTCTTCTCCTTTTATGTCTTTTTTTCTTTCTGTTTCTTATCTTTATTATGTATTTGCATTCTTTCTCTGCTATTTTCCTTAGTATTTTTTTCATTTTTATTGGCTAGGCAGGACGATAATAATGGGGCTTTGCTCTCTTTTGACCTGTCTTAGTTATAACTATTTGTTTCATTAATAAATAAATAAAGTTTAAAAAAAAGAAACATTTTTTCAATACATTTACTCTAACCATACACCTTATCCAAGAACTACTTAATGGTGGTATCCTAACCATATGACAGATATTGACCACAAGTTCATTATTGTTACAATATGAGGTACACAAAATAAGAATCAAAAATGAAAAATATTAATTAATGTTATTTGGCTCTCATCGAAGTGTTATGGAGGTTTTTACAAAAGTTTTCTGAAAATCTTGAAAAGCTGACTTTTCGAAAAGGTTTCATATTCCGATTAAAAAGCAAATCGAAAACTACTTTTAATGATCCCAGGAAATAGAGCAAACATTTCTGATCATAATGAGACGTCTCCCAGCTCTGAATGATATTCTATTCCAGAGCTATGGGAGTTTTGCTGGAAGCCGTAAAACATGCATCAGATACTGGCGCCACTATATCTCGTAAGCGGCTTTTGGCTTAGCATCATTTCGTAGCTCCAAGATTTCTCGTTAACGAAATCTTGCAGAGAGCTCGGAAAGGTCTTAAATTGAAACTGACAGTTTAATCTCCACAATGTTTCGTTACTGATAAATCTTGGAGCTACGAACAGCCCCATTTTAGTTACTGTTGTGGCGACATCTCACAAACCATGTACGATGAGGCCAAACAAAAAATTTCGTCATTATACTTTCACAAGACCAGCGTCTACTACAAGTTTTGTCAAGATCGGGTTTATAGTTTCAGAGATAGATTTCTGACGAGGAGACCTTAAGTCAAATATCAGGATTTCTTGAAAACCAATTTTCTCGCAATTCTTACCATTTGATAACCCATTTAATTCTCTACAACCAATATAACTTAAGATTAGATTTTTTAAAAAATGCTTTCTGAGTTTGCTATTATGATAATGTCAATGTCCATTATGACCATTCGAATGGACATTGGGCTTTAAAGGGTTAAAATTCAAACTACTACTAATAGAATATAAAATGCAGACGCCTGCACATGAACAAAACAACATAAAATGCACAGACTAAATATACTACGCGAATGTGTCAGGCCATATCACTTGAAATATTGTTTATTGTTTTATCACTCAGGTAACGTCCTGCAATGCC